GGCACCCTGGCCGTTAACCCCTGGAGCATTGATTCCCGGTGGTGGGGCCTGCATGCTGCATGGGTGCCTTGGCCCTGGATTTAGTGTAAGCATCACAGGTGTCCAGCTGAGGGGTGTCTCTCTGCTAGGGGGCTGGTGCCTGGGGGAGGGGGCTCTTGGGGGTTGCAGTAAGGGGTGGGGGCCCTGCAGTTTGGGTCTCTGGGCAGGCCTGAGCTTTGCCATATAGTGGAGGCTTCCTAGAGCAAAGCCGGCGGTCAGACTGGGCTGCATTTCCTGGGTGGCTGGAGTCACTGGTGCAGTGGTCCGGGCCCGAGGGAAGCCCTTAGAGCAGGTGGGAGGTGCTGCTGCAAAGGCGGGCGGCCACCAGTGCAGTGATCCAAGGGTAGTAACTGGGGAGTAGCTGACAGGAGAGCCAGGCCAAGCAGCAGCCATGGCTAACTCCTTGCTGCTACTAGACAAAGGTTAATTACAGAAGCTGGGGCCACATGGGTCCTGGTCCTTGGGTTGGGAAGTGACAGTGACCGCTTGGCCAGCAGATCTCATCGAAGAGCCTGGGCCGATGTGCACCCCCTGAGCTGCAGCCGGTCCCAGGCCAGGGCGTCCTGCAGCTAGAGCTGGCACCAGGGCCAAAGCCACCTACAGGAGCAGCCCCCAGGGCTTTGCTGGGAATTCAGGCCTGGGGGCTGGGGCTCCCCAGCTGGGAGCAGTTGCAGTGCTGGGAGGGGGGTAGATTCACCTTCCCAGCTGCTGGATGCAGGCAGCAGGGCCCATGGGAGCTGCAGCCAAGTGGGCACAGAGGAAGGGAAAGAGTCTCACACACCATGGATCTGCTGGGAGCTGATCCTGCACCACATGGCGGGGGAGGGAGAAGGGCATGAGCAGGCACAGAGCCTGCCAAGCACAGGAGCTAGGCCCCAGTGCAGCACAGAGGATGGAGTTGGAGCCTCCTCTGACCTACCAGGCACCTCCCCCTGCAGTGAGTTGGGGGGCCAGGCCCAACCCCAGTTTCCTACATGAGGCCCACGAGGGGAAGGGAACCGTGCAGGGCTCAGTGGGCACACAGCTTGGCAGAGCTGCACCCACCTTTGGTGGGACAGGACTCATGGTCTGAGGGAAAACAAGCCAACCCCTGCCCCAGCAGCAGCGGCTCCACAGGCTGCCCAGAGCAGGGACAGCAGCTCCTGAGCACCTTGCTTTCTCCTGCAGGAGCCAGCCTGGGCTGAGTTGGGGCCAGTGGAGCCACAGGCCCACTCTTGTTATTCCCAAACACCTCCCTGGGAGGAGGCTGAGCCGGGGGCTGCCCCAGGGGCCCCGGAGGCTGATCAGAGAGTTGGCCGAGAGTGACCGTCAGCCCGGCCAGTGGAAGCTTTTATTCTGGCAGGATGGGCAGACCCTGCCCCAGCCAGGCAGCCACAAGCAGGTTTTTAAATAAAAAATAAATAACAAAATCCCAGTGCCCAGGTCTCTCCGTGCCAGCCCCTCACCCCCCTGCAGCTCCCACCCTCAGCAATAACTTAAAAATAAGTAGCATCTAGGGTTATATGGCTCCCACTCTGGCCGCAGCTGGGATGTGGGCGCTCTATGACAGTGATGGGGTGCCTGGAGGGAGGTGCAAACAGCAGCTCAGCCAGGAATGTGGGATGCCCAGGAGCTGGGAAGTGGGGGGGGAGGGTCCAGGCCTGCTGAGCCCAGGATTTGCTTCCCTGGGGAAAGGGGCTGCCCCAGGAATAGCAGCCTGAGCTGGCAGAGTTACACGCAGCCAGGGAGCGAGGCTCTGGCCTAAATCACCCATCACCCCCTGGCTATGGGTCCCCTGGCTTCCCCTACAGGCCAGGCAAGCTGGGGCTATAGCAGGCCCTGCTGATCCCTGATCCTGAGTGCGGGGCCCAGCCCTGCTCCCCATGGCCCCAGGAAGCCCAGGCCCTCTCTAGGGGTGGCAGGTGGGGCTGGGAAGGAGAAGCAGCTGCAGGAGAGACGCTGAGGGGCATGTCCCACAGCAGCAATGCGGAGGAGGGCAAGAGGGAAATGACACTGCCCCTATACACAGTGCATGTAGGGGAGGAGGGAGAGGCAGTGTTTTCACCAAAGCACTCAGCCTGGGTGGGGGGGATACAGGACTCCCAGGTTCTGGGCTCAGTGCAGTGTTCAGGACCCCAGGTGGCGATCCAGGGGAAGAGAAGCTGACAGAAGCTGGGGATGGACCTAGAAGGGCTTGGGGGCATTTACCTCACCCCTCAGGCACCTCCTCTTGGGAACCCCCACCTCACCTGAATGGGTCATGCAGCAGCACCTGGCCAAGAGGTGAGCCCTGGCACCCAGCAAGGAGCATGCAGGCACAGGGCCATGGGGGAAGGGAGCAGGGCCCTGCCTGCCAGCTGCGCCCCGTGGCCCTCCATGAGGCAGGCAGAGGGCAAGTGAAGGGAGCAGCAAGGAAGGGCCATGGGCCCTCGTGTGTGTGGCGGGGAGGGGGCTGGGGTAGTCCTGCCCCAGTATCCTGCCCTCATCCCCACCCCCTACCAGCAGAGGCTGCTGGACTGGGCCCTGCTGTCCCTGGAGCAATGCAGGGCCTCGGAGTGAGCAGCAGTGGCCTGTAGCTGATACAGCGGGTAGCTGTGGGTGCCCCGGGCCTGCAGCAGCACTGACCTGGGTCAAGTACTCGCTGGTGGAGGGTGCTGGGCCCAGTGGCCGCCACTCCACCCTGAGATGAGCCCAGGCCAGGTCCCACTGCACACTGGGAGATGTAGAATGGCTGCTGACCCCAGCAGAACCTTGGCCATTAACCGAGTGGAACCAGGCCGGCCTCAGGACTCCAGCAGCAGATGCAGGCCGGAGGCTCCAGCGCAGGATGGGCTCCAGTGCCCCAGCAACATGCAGGTTGCAGTCTCCTAGTGCCAGCCCTGGGCCTGCAGGCTCCATCTGTCCCAGTCCAGGAGCAGGTGGCTGGGCTCACTCCGGGGGCGGGGAGTTGCGGTGCCGCAGACTCTTCTCCTCATCTGGGAAGGAGAAGACACCATGTGATGGCACAGACCCAGCCCTCGGGGAGAATAGGGCCCGGCCAGCCACCAAGCGGCAGGAGGGGTCAGCAGTGCTGCTGTCATGATGGGCCCTTGCCCCCAGGCCAGAGAGCTCAGGGCCAGGAAGGACCAGCAGGATGAGTGTGAACTCAGACTAGAGTCCAGTCAGTGGCTGAGTGGAGAACACACCCCCCGTCCCTCCATCCAGTCCAGAGTGAGACCCCCGCGCCCCAGGAGAGCTGCCCCCAGGGCAATCGCCCTGCCTCTTCCCAGGCCGAGGCAGGGACAATTCAGGCCTGTTAGTGAGAGCTGGGTAAGGACAAGCCACGTGGCCAGGAGCCCCCCTCCTCCCAAGCACACCAGGGTCATCTAGGGCATTGGTTCTCAAACTGGTGGTTGCAACCCCTCAGGGGGTCACAACCCGGTTATGTGGGGGGTTGCAAGCTCCAACCCCGAGCCCTGCGCTGGGCTGCCAGCCCCAAGCTCCTCCAGCCCAGCTCCACCCCCAACTCCACTCCACTCCACCTCCAGCGCTGCTCCACCTCCAAAGAAAGGGTGCCAAATAGAAGGTTGCCCAGGGCGCCCTTTTTCCTATGGCTGGCCCTGGTACTGAGACAACATTAGAGGGCTTGATTCGCAGCTGAACAAGTACTGTATTAATTAACAGTCAGAGACACAAGTGCAAACTTTTTCCTGAAAATAATGGCCACTTGTACTGCTAAAACCGCTAAAAAACGAAAGGATTTCGAGTCTTACATTAAACTTGGCTTTACCAGAATCATCACCTCTGGTATTGAAAAACCGCAATATGTCATTTGCTGTTAAGTTTTGTCTGCTGAATCAATGCAACCATGCAAACTGCAGTGACATCTTGAAACTAAACATCCTGAGCATAAAAATTGAAACGTGGATTTTTTCAAACACAGAGAAGAAGCAACAAACGTCAATTCATTTTAAGCAATAGGGTTTAAATTTAGTATTTAACATAGTGTTAAATATCAAAAATGTGCTTTTAATTTCTAAGGGGGGGTCGCACTCAAGAGGCTTGGTGTTCGAAAGGGGTCACCAATACAAAAAGTTTGAGAACAACTGATCTAGGGGAACATCTGGGTCCAGACAAGCCCCATGTTGCGGTGGGTGGTGCTGGTCCCCATACTCAAGAGGGGAAGGTCCATTTCCCACCCTCTCCCACACGACTCTTAGCCCCACCCCCAGGATCTGGCCTCTCTGGGCTCTGGAGCTGGGCAATGCCAGCCTGTGACGAACTGGGACTGTTCTTAATGTGGTCTTTGAATGCTAAGTGGGGAGTGTTGGCTGAGAAGGCAGGGGCGTGTGACTAGGATGGTCTGCATGGGGGGATGGGAGACTGGCCGAGGGAAGATACCTGAGCATGTAACATGAGAACCCAGGAAGGGGTTAGAGGCCAGGTGACACCTTTGCCCGGGAAACTGAACAAAGGGTGGGGGGAGAGTTTCAGAGCTAGCTGGTGGAATGGCTGGGAGGCAGACAGGGCTCTGACCTCCCAAGGGGGCTGGGGTGCCCTGGGACCCCAAGATGGACCTAACTGAGGGGGTCCTGTTGTCTGCGCCTGCAAGAACTGTCTTGGACTGTGTCCCTGTTGTCTAAATAAACCTGCTTTACTGGCTGGCTGAGAGTCATGGTGAATCGCAGGAAGCCGGGGGCGCCGGGCCCTGTGTCCCCCCACACTCCGTGACACAGCCTGAGAGCAAGGAGCCCAGGAGCTGGCATGGAGAGTGTGAACGGGACCCCCCCCCGAGGAGTGGGGGAGTGTGGAGAGCACCCCGTGGGGAGCCTGCAATATTTGTGCAGGGAAGGGGGCATGGTCCCAGGGGCTGGGGAATCCAGGCCCACCCTTGCTCCCTGGAGCATGGGCAGCAGCATCGGGACCAGCGCTCCCTACAGCTGCCAGAACAGAGACACAGACGGAGCCCCACCTCAGCCAGCTCCCCCATCTGGAGAGGGCCCCAGGAGCAGCAGCTGGGCCCAGCACACGCCATCCCCAGGGAGCAGAGGCCAGAGCTTACAGTCTCAAATACCTCAGTGTGGGTCCACTCAGCCGGTGCTAACAGCTCCTCCTCTCCCCCCTCAGGGTCCAGCCCTTCCTCCTCGTACTCCGTCAGGTAGTCAGATTCCTCACCTGGGATGGGAGCACACATGGGGCTAGCAGTTGCTCCTGGCCTGGCCCTGGTGCCCCTCAATCCCGACCCACAGTCCCCCTTCTATCCCAGCCCTAGCCCCCCTCCCCCAGCCTTGCTGGGGCCCCAGAATCCTATTGGAGTGACATGGGCAGAGAGCCCTGCGTCGCGCCCCCTGCCCCCACTCACCATCAGCATAGCCATCGGACAGGTAGCTCTTGGCCGGCTCGATGCAAGACACGATCTCAGCCAGATCAGTGAACCCCACGCTGGGGCAAGTCAGCACCTGGGGGGTGAGAGCCAGGCTAGAGATGCCCCCGTCAGGTAGCCTGGGGGGGCTGGGACACAGGGAGGAAGTGCTATGTGGGCTGAGCTAGAGAGCGGGTGGTTCAGGAGGGCTCCAGTGCGTGAGGACAAGGAGTGGGGGGCATTGTGGCAAAGGGTGTGGGTCAGGCTCTCACCCCATGCAGGTGGCTCTGAGTCCAGCCCCGAGGGGGTCCCCCACTTCGCCAAGGGGCTCGGCCTAAGGACAAAGGGACCAGAGCCACACGGCAGCTCCTGCTGGAACTGGAGTCTGCACTGATGAGGGAGGGCACTTCCTTGCCAAGCCCCCCACTCCCCTTGGAGCCCCCAGCCCTACTACTTGGGGCACCAGGGCTGAGCTGGTTGTTCCCCTGTACCAGGCACTGGTTCTGTGTCATGGGGCTGCCACAGCCAGGACCCTGTAGGAACGTCAGGTTGGCACAAAAGGGAGCTAAGTGGCCGGAGTGTGACGAGGCACAAACTGTAGCTACGCATCCCCTGCTGGCCCATGCCCCACTGTTGCCCCCTCACTCACATCCATGCGCTTGCTCTCGTAGAAGTCGGCCGAGCGCTGGTCCTTCACCATCTTCTCAATGATGTCACCGCGGCTCCAGCCGCTGGACATCACCTTGCCATGCTGGTAGCCCATGTCCTGCATTGGATGGATGGGCAGGATGAGGGGCCCACTCTTTCCAGCCAGCTGCGGGGGGACTGGCTAGGCCAGGCAGCTCCCGCTGCAGAGCAAGACATGGATTTGCCCTGGGTGCTTCAACGCAGCTGCAGGGCTGCTCCCCACAAGGGTGGCCATCAGATTTCCAACCCATCCCCTCAAGCAGGGCCTCTCCCTCCCCAACCTGGGCACAGCCAGTGGCCAAGATTGGGGCCTCCCACCCTCCCCATCCCCGGCCAAGCGCAGCCCCCAGTCTCCCACACCCTGCTGAGCACTGACCCCCCTCTCCCAAGATCAGGGCCACCCCCGTCTGAGCACAGACCCTCCCTCGGCCTCCCCAGATTGGGGCCTCCCACCCTCCCCACCGCTGCCTGAGCACAGACTCCTCTCCCCCTCCAGATCACGGCCTCTTACCCGCAGCCCAGTGCAGCCCAGGGCCCAGATCAGGGCCTCCCACCTCCCCATCCCCAGCCGAGCACAGACACTCCCCCAACCCCCTAATCAGGGCCTCTCACATTCCCCACCCCCGTGGCCCAGGCCATCTGGACTCACGTAGATCTCGTCGAACTTGCTAAAGTCCATGGTTTTGAAGCGGTCGATGGGCAGGCAAATGTATTCGCAGTAGGAGCTCAACTTTACCACCTCCAGCTGGCGCACACACGACACATAGGCCAGACACAACTGGATCTCAGCCATGTTGGGCACCTGTATGTGTGTGGGGAAAAACAGGAGTGTCCTGCAAGGGGGTGGATCAGCCCCACCTGGGACAGCATCCTGGGGCAGGGGGCTGCAAGGGACAGTCTCTCCTACATTCTGCAGGTCTGACTCCCCACCCCAGCTGGCTCAGTCCAGCTGAGTGGCTGGAGCCGGATCCCAGCAACTGCCAGTGGGGCATCAGGAGTGACTGTGCCCAGCCAGCCTGAGGGAAGCCACTGGCTGCCAAGGCAGGCCCGCATGCTCAGGCAGGAGCAGCCCTGGGAGGCAGGGGCTGTGGTGGAAGGGACCCTGCCAGCACCTAGGGCTGTCGCTGCCCTTGGGGTAGGGGGCAGAGGAAGGGCAGGGGAGAGGGATGGTGAAGAGCCCCAGCCTTGGGTGGGTGGGGCCTGCCTGCCTCCCCTCACATGCCCCCCGGCCTGCAGCATGGGACAGGTGCAGCAGCAAGCTTTTTACAAAATGGAGTAAGCCTTTTAAATTGAATGACAATATGGCAAACAGTGAACAGAAGTTACAATGTAGGCAAGTGTAATGAATGGTGAACAGAAGTTACACTACTGAGATACTGAAAGAGTGCAAGTCTTAGTGACTAAAACAGGAATCGGATTGATATTGAAACTTACAAAGGCAGATGGCTGAACAACTGTAGCTCTTAACAAGCAGCTTAATTGAGCTAAGCAGCAGCGGACTTAACCACAGGAGCTCAACAAGCGGCTTCAAAATCAATTAGCCAGTTATTGGGGTAACCGGTTATATGAATGAATGTGGTTCATTCAAAAATGAATGTGGTTTCATTCTTAAAACTTGACTTATGAAGTTACATTGATATAAAATGAATGTGGATTTATTCATAAAACTTGACTTATGAAGTTACATTGATATAAAATGAATGTGGATTCATTCATAAAACTTGACTTATGAAGTTACATTGAAAAAG